ATCCCCGTAGCCCAATAAATTACAAATAATGTCACGGATCGCTGTGTAAAACAAGTAACTACGACTATTAAAAGGTGTAAGTACAAACCGATCATACGCTACAGCTATTTCAGAAAATAAAAATAACTCATGCTATGTCGCTCTATCTAATTATTTCGTGTTTTTCCAACCATACTGTTTAAATGTAATTTTATATATATATATATTTTTTTTCATATCTTTACTTTTTAGAGTCTCAGCTCAAAAAAATAGTTTTACATTTTTAGTTATTTTCAATAAATTATAATTTATTCGATAAACGTAGAACTGTACAAGCCAAGATAAAATTGTGTATGTGTTGATTCCAAACAAGTAAAAGCTAATCATTATTTGGGACGATCGTACACTTATAGATCTATAAAATATATTTTTTAGTACGTTATAGTATTTTGCTATACTGTTTGCACTGTAACGATGATATGATAATCACTACAATTGAATTAACTCACTATTCTAGACATAAACAACTGCTCAAGATTACTGCTGCATACAGCCATATACTCCATAAACGAAATAAATCCCTTTACTCCTGATCGTGGTTTTTTTCAGACAAGTTATAGAACATCCGATAAATAAAAACTCAAGACCCATAAGTGAATAGTAGATAAACATCGTATACATACAAAAACTATAGGAAATAACACGAAGGAAAACGTAAGTTATTCAATTTTTAACCTCTTTAAAAGCTAAATTATAATCTTTAGTGTATTATAATTGTTATTTTTTAATATCAAAATACTCAGCATATATGATTAAACTAAAATAACTAAACTTTATAATAATGATTATTAACTGAACTAACAATAGGTACTCATAACAAATCCTTCATTATATATTTTAGTTTAAAATATTTTAAAAAAATGTAAAAAAATATAAGTCTGTATTATGAATTTTCGCTGAATGATTTTTTACCTACGCAGTATGGTTTTTTTCCAATAAAATCGTAAATAAATGATTATTTTACTTATAGATCCATATATATTTAACGATCATGAACTCGCATATACGCACCCGTACTATCATATTCGGCCTATGAAACTTTAAATCCAGAGCGTACTTTAAAGCATCGTATTCTGTTAATCGTTTAGTAACACAACAGTTGCAAAATTAACCTTGGTTGTTAAAAAACTTTAAATAAATAAACATTACTACGTCTATAGAAACTGATTACAATAACCTATACAAGTATTGATAACATATTGTAAGTGGTCAAATGTTCACCAATAAAAAATAATAAATCTCCAAATGACGACTTAAAAGTTGGCAGACAAGTGATGTTTGGAGTTGCTGCATGGTTCCGATTTTCAGTAGAAACGTTGACTCAAAAGGGTCATACATTTATTGAGCCCAGATTTCCGTTCAGTAAAAATTACTGCGCGTGCGTAATACAATATGTATAGACAACTTAATGTCGTCACGCAAAAGCGAAGAAAATAATATCAAATAATGGTTGGAGGGGGGAGGGAGAACGACTAGGGCCCAGGCTAAGACGAGATGGCGAATATAAAGAATATGTCTCGACGCGAACCCGAGATTTCGGAAGAAAGACGCCGATCACAATAGGCGCGTGCGGTTGTCCCCTTAGGCGATTGGAAAATAACCGGCGCAAAGCCTACCATGTGAACTGGCCACTGCAGTGTGTAGACTTCATAAAAGGATTTATTGTCTCCCCCCGTTCGTATACTTGCAAGCACGAACCGATAAAATCTTCAGACTAATCTTTTGAATTCAAACTATCAAAATGTGTACAGTGAAAGTCTCTCCATATATATATATATATGTATTATTCGTATACATTACACTCGTCGGCCATCCGGGAGGAGCCAATGTGTGCTATGTGTTTCGGAAGTCAAACGAAAATCGAAAAATCTGAAAATCCGAAGTGATTTTTGTAGAATAATAAAATTCAAAACGTCATCCCGGTTTACGTCGTACTCGTCATTGTTGATGAAGAATTTACATACTAATACGCTAAGCAAGTATGCATTGGCACATGTGTTGTAATGTCTTGTGCACTACTCAAACGAATAAAATACACCGTATCCCCTAACAACGATTTAGTGGTTATGGTAAAAATCATAGTAAATACTTATACAAAATATGGTGACGATAACAATTTTGCTATGAATTTATACTATCGTTGTTACAGCATGACGTTTCGGATAACATTTTAACATGAGTCCCTATGATAAGACAAATTTCAAAAATCTGACTGGAAAATTGTATATATATTATGTGTATTGTATATACTCGACGTCGTTCGTTTGGAACATCGCGTCAGTTGTGATCCGTAATTCAATTAATTATTTTCCAAAGCCGTCGTCTATAATGCAATATAATTCAATTCACGTTTTTATACTGTATGGTAATACTATTATCACGACGGTTCGGTCGTTATCGTATTAAAAACGGAACAACTTTTATGCAAGTTAGTGCCTCAAAAAAATAAAATCGGTAATTGTGTATATATAACCGATTCGGAAATTATTTAATATACTGATGTTTTTGTGCTTATTTGACGAAAACTTTTGTCATAAAATAACGGTCGAATGAATTTAAGGAGATTATTATCGTTTACAAACGATCCTTTTTTTTTTAACGATGATAACTCACTAATCTCGAAATTTCTAAAACATTATCAAAAACTTATTGCCAAGCTTTTATGTATATAAATTATATGATGTAGATTTTTTTTTTTTGCTGTATAAACTTCAATAAAAACCGCAGGAGACGAATCATCGTGAGCACACGTCTTCCCAAAAGGTATAACACATTTCAAAGAGATTTGTCTTTGAACATGTTTGATAAAGGAAAAAATGAATGTATATTACGAAGAAGATTGAGAGTTTACCGCAAAATCCTATTTGTTGTGCCGATGTGCTGACAAGATGCTCAATCCTCGGTCTTTTCAATGTTTGGGGATTACAAGCATCGAGTAATACCCTTCTTCTTATTTTTTCCTTTTTTTTTTTTTTTTTTTGTCACCGAAAGATTATGTATGTCAATGATTTCCCTCGGGAGTGAAGCGTATGATAATTGATTTCGTATTTCAGCTCATTTATCTGTGAAAACTTTCTTCTTCTTCCCTTAGGCTTCCTTCTCCGATTTCGCAACGTTATTTACTAAGAGATAAAAATCATTATCCGTTCTTTTCTTATTTCCATTTAAATCCGTTTGATAGTTAATTACTCCGGGACATTTTATTCTCCAAATGGATTTAATTAACATACATTAGCTTTATCGTAATAATCCCCCGAACTAGCATTTTATAAACTGCAAAATAAAATAAAACACATTTTTACTTTTTAAATTTATACAAAAGTCGACCATAGAAAATAAAATAGTTTTAAAATTAAATATTAATATTGATTTTTTTGTATAGATTGTTTATAGTTTCTGTACGAGGTTATATAGTGATAAAATATTTAAACGTTATACAAGATTATAATTAGAATTCGTTCTTGGCCATCTAGACGTATACATCTAATTTCGTTTGTCATGGCGAATATTCCATGTAAAAATAAGATTGTCACGCTGTATATTAATAATTATTGTATTCATATCCTCTTTGGCGTGGCGAGACGACACTTAATTATCGCCTACATAAAGTGTACTTTGGTATTTGCTTTCTATGTATATCATATATCTATCGCCATCTCGACCATCGGAGGCTGGAGCCTCCTTACATTGACGTTTTGACTTCATGGACCATTGTCAACGACCCCGTCGTCGTTGCCGGGCCAGAGTGTTCTGCAGTCAGGAAACAACCCTTCTGCCGTTTTATTGTCACCGGGACGAGGAATTGTTTTCCGACTCATCGGCTGCGACGAGGGTGTACATGTATATAATAATAATAATGATGTCGGACCCATTAGCGTGATTAATTCCGGTTGTTCCTTATATACTTACGGCAGACGGAAGGGCTGGAAGGCGCTCACGTCGTGATACACGCAGTCTCGTATCGATTAGAAATCGTGCATCCTCCAGCCAATAGGCGGTGTATAGAACTTTCCAGCTCCACTACACGTGGTGCACAATGAAATCGTTTAGGGTTTTCTCTATTCTTTCCGGACGAAATCGACATTTTCGGTTCCAATTTCATTAGATCGAATTGATTTTATACGCATTTTACTGTCAGCCCGTCTGGCGATGCACTCGGTCAACGCCTGTGTGTATCGATGGTAAATAATAATGACAAATAATAATAATAATAATACGCGAGACAGTGGCGATAGATATCGGGACCAGTATGATAATTCTGCAATACGCGGTCGTTTCTGCGCTGCATATGTAAATTGCGTGCTCGGACGGAGGACGACAAGAATATATTTACTGCAAGACTGGTTCCATTCGAAATTGTTTATCAAACGATTTTGTTTTTATTTGTATAAAGTGGCGGCGAGGAAAAGTAAAATATTGAATTAGACCGGCGAGAATATACAAGGCGGCAAAAGGAGGGTAGGGGAAAAAAAGCAGTGCGTTCATCCTCGATGGAGCGTCGCAATCACGTTTCTTTTCCGAAAATAAGCCACTTAAGCTACAAACGGAAAAAATGTATACACTTTCTTTCTCTTTTCAAATCGCACTGCGCGTCTCGTCGATATCAGTTTTCCTCTCGTGCGCACATAACGCGTGCACACTCGGAAACACCACAATAAGCCGTACGATTTAATGTAATACAAATAACGCGTTATCGCGTGTACACTGTGTACTGCTGCTGCACGGGCGTGCACATGAAAAAAAAAAGCCTTGCCGATTGCGCAACGAAACCGTGTATTGACTTTACACAAATGTCCGTCCAACGAGCGAACGTTTTATTCTAACGTTAGTTAAACAACCATCTCCAGATTGTTCGTATACATATGATTGCGGTGTAATAACACTCCGTGATCGATATGCATTCCGTTATCGGACGTAGAAGTGTTCCGATTTACAGTGGTTTTGAAGTGCATTAGAAAGGTTAAATAACGCTATGTTCAGTCACGTCGCGTATCAGATAAACGCGTGTACGTCGATCGTAGCGCTCGAGAAGTTTGTGAATATTTTAACAATAACAATTAAGGATTTTTTTGTCGTTGAAAATGGTACATCAATCGGACGTTTTTCTCAATTATTACAAATTACCGGGACCTTGGTACAACGTTAAATACACGATATACTACTGGTTTTTTACCGCCGTCAAGGTATGTAGAGCAAAATGTTTTTGAACAATGTATTCAACGGTAATAGAATACATATTGGAACAATACCGCTATCGTAATAATGATTTCGATCGCTCGACACTGTATTATATTATTATTTTTATTCGCCAGAAAATATTACGTATTTTTGACATCCATTCCAAACACGGCAGACCCGAAGACAACGACGGACCTCATCGGCTGAACGATGTCGTAGTAAGTTTAATTATACACATTATGATACGCGTTATTTTTTATGCTAAATGAATGTAATGCTTGTCGAGGGGTATGATGCCACGTGGATAGGTGGCACGACGTCCGACAGCAAATGGATCATACTAGCGCTCGACAGACGAAAGAACTGCAAAATGTCAATAGGATACGTGTATGTACAGGTATGTCGCCTACATTTCATACATAATCAAAATGTTTGTGAGATTGACTTAAAATATGGATTATTATCAACTGCCGAACAATGCAGTCTTCAAATCTAATGAAATAGAAACCATGTTAGCTTTAAAACACACTTATTGACAAAAGTAAATACTTTTCATTGCTGAGAAAACAATAATCGCTACTGTAAAATTGTTTTTTTCAGTCTTTATAAATAATTGATTTTCTCGTACCCGAAAACTGGTAGTTGTATGAAAAAATAAATATATTTATCTTTTTTTTCCCCCAACAGCTAGATTAGTACTACAGCTAATTCAAACTCAACGAATAACGGTTTGTGTTCAATATTATTTTTTCTATTACTTTTACCATTTGACTCAATTCCGATCTGAACCCCCAAGTCATGGGTACGCATACGTTTAAATATATGTGTAACAAGGATACGTAACAAATTTTAAGTACTTATCAGATGGTTTCAGTAGGTACACGTACATTCAATATCACTACACCTACGTTTCGTCGCGTTAATTAATTTTAGGATAGAATCCCTTCCCGGATAAGCGTGTCTACAAACACAGAACGTACAACCCCCACAGCATGTTCGAATTATTTGGTTATAGATTCCGGGAATTGGGCGCTTGGCCACTCCGATGTACCCGAATTCCATGGAAAATACTAAGGGAAACAGTGCGAACGGTTTCGCTTTAGACGAATACAGCCTGACGATGAGCAAACCTCTCCGACAGTGGTTCATTACCTTTCATGGTAATATGACGTAAGTAAAACGCACGATGTATAAAATAGCACCCCTGATACACATACAGGGGTACCTGAGTTCAAGAGTAAAATTAAAATCATCAATTATTACCCCCAGTTTATTTTGAGCTAAATATATTGTTTGAAAAGGGTTGTTTTTACGTTTATGAGAATGGATTTATTAGATTATTTTTATTTTTTATTTATTTAATAATACTATATAATACACTTAAATTTATGCAAAAATAATACGTACATATGAGATTAATATCTTATGATTTCAACGAAATAGTGAGTGATTTTACGCAACATTAACAGCACTGCACAAGATATTCCCGGATTAGATTAATCGTATTACTTTTTTATGATTTAACCTCGATTTTCTTCAATGTTAAGACTTACGATTTTATTTTAAAATTCAAATATTTTACGTATAGGGGGTAAAAATAACCCGCGGGCTATCTTAACATAAGTAAGTTTAATACACCCACGTTTTATACTTAATGTGCGTCTACGAACTATAAATGCAATATTAACGCGTAAATGCGTTTTGGATGTATAGATTTGTAGACGATCCGAAAAATACTGTACGCGTGAAGATAAATGCCGATTGGAAGAGCAAACGTGACGTGTGGTTACTGAACCGAGACTTAAGCAGCGAGTCGTTTGCTGATTCGTTCGCTCTGGAGAACTGGAGAAAGTTCGCCGAGCCACTGTTGGATCGGTAACGATAATATTACAATAAAATGCATGTTACGACGAAAAAAATAGTTCATTGTAATACCTGCACGATATGGGCACGTAATTTTAGGTCTAAAGACGACGTGGTGCATTGGGAACAATTCGGCGATCTAAATGCGAACGTCGAGATCAACGGGAATATAATTGAAATTCGTAACGCAATGACGCTAAGAGACAGGAGCTTCGGTAAAGAAATAAAATAAAATAACATTATCAATTTAACGCCTAATATCCTAACGTGATATACGAAACTCCGTATTCCGCAGGTAAGATAAGGAATTTCTCAGCGATGCACAGATATTTCTACGTAACTATATTCCTTGACGACGGCTGTTCACTTGTGATCACTGTCGTATGCCACAAAATAACGTTTTCTAGGTGAGTTATTTGTCAATTATAACGAGTTAAAAGGTACAATTAAGTGACGTTTAGTTATTTTTCTTTAAGAGCTAATATTCTTCCATTGCATACAGTTATTATTCAATTAATTTTTCCTAATTTAAATTCCAGAAATTGAACATTTGTGCATTATATGTTTTAATAAATTTAAAAATACAAGTGATAATTATACTATACCTATATTTCAATAGGAATCAAAATAAAATATATAAATATACTTGTGTATATACGCATATACATTTTTTTATTGATGTTTTGTGCTTGTATATGTTAATACTGTATTATAAAACAATTTAATAAAAAAAGTAGTAGCTTTTAACTTTAATCTTAACTCCTGTACTAATCTAGATTAACTTCATTGAACGAGTAAAAAAATTAGTCTACTTGCTCAACCTTGGTTTTCTCGTTCCTTTTCCATACTTTATTGTACACAATTTGATCGTACTATGTCACGTTTAGATTGTTTTTCGGATTCATCAGCAACGACGACGGCACCTACACCAACATTGATTGGTCCGACTTGAATATATATCAATTTGGCGAAAACGGCAAAGTCGCCGAGGAATTATGTTTTTTAATTCGAATAGGTATGCTCTATTATTACTTCAGTAATACCATGTACACTTAACCATCATACACTTGTTGCAGGATAACTTTTATTGTTTATTTTCTTTGTACCAGGTAAGACCGTTCATACGGTGCAAATCAGTTGCGACAGCCAGCACTGGTATCGATTGGAAAAAGACGTGGTGCGGTGCGAACAAATCGGAAAATGTTTGCTCGACTACCGGGTCGGCAAGTGCATGATCCAATCGTTGTACAGCGAGACATCGTTGAAAGCGAAACCACTGTATAAACCGTTAGAGTTTTTAGACAATTAAAAGCCATTCGGAAAACATATTATATTATATTATAACGCGCGTCATCAAATCATTTCACCGCAGACGACCTCGAACGAATACGTTGTCCGTCGATTTCAAAAGCTGTGGTGATATACATTATATGCACATTACATGTTTATAAACTCAATTGGATTTTAAACGGTGCGGTAGTAACGGTATCATAGGGAAGTAGGGGTTGATCGAAAATGACTCTCCTGCCGATACACAGCGTCTTTGTGTAAACAGGTAACGTAAGCGATAATATAATGTATGAATCACAATAGATGATACGATAGCGTACGTGATCTCGCGTCATCAGCTCTTTCGTCGATCGATCTTTGTTTTATATTATAATTTAGCCTTTGTGGTGTACAAACCACTGTACACTACTATACATACTTCTACTACATAATAATCTTGAACGGGGAAGGAAAACTTGACAACAACGTTGTCGATAAGTAAGTTCCTTCCCGCTAACCCTCACCCCGTACTCCACGGTCCACGAGAACCGTAAAAGTCACATCATCGTAGGCGCGCGCAACATACAGATGGCGAATACTACAGTGCATGAAGACCAAAATACGGTCGACGAAATAGCTCGGTAATCACGATTATTATTAATAACACGAAGGCGAACGCGAGTGGTAACATTTCGTGGGTACCATATCATTCTTCATTACGAAAAACATCGCAGTAGCCGCGCCAACAGTGGCGTACACGACCGATATTCATCAGGCTAATTGCGTCGCCGTTCGGCTGAGCCACCTCCCGCCACAAGTCTTCGTTGCTTCCCCTCCCACCATGAGTAGGGGAGGGTTGGTGATTAATGCGTTTAATATTCATAAAAATCGCTCGTGAAAAAGTCATCATCGCGCGCGAATCAATCATTTGTCCGCGGCCGCGTAATTCGATTACATAATGTTGCACGTGGCGAAGAACTAAAACAAATAAAATATGTAAGTCGTGCGAAAACGAAAAATACTTAATGAAAAAAAAGAAAAAGAAAATTACGTACGATGCAGTGAGTGCAGCTCGAATAATATACATGAAATATGCTATGTATACAGATATTTTGATCACACGCATCCGTAATTACGAGTATACGAATTAATTTTTAGGTTCGGCAAACCAGAAAACATTTTTAACAATTTAGATCCGTACTTTTCACAAATCGTGTATATGCACAAATAAGTATACATGCAATTGTATTCAGATTATTGTTATTCAAAAAAAATTTTCAAAATCTAGTGAGTATAGAAGATAAGCTTTTAAAATCAATCATACAATGGCATTAAGAAAGCTGTTGTTATGCGCTGAGGTATGTAAAGTTTGTGAAAACTGCAATACGCGTTCGCATAGATTTTCGCAATGATTCTTCAATCATATTTTTTAAACAGTTACCTACATAATGAATGTCTGAAATAATCATAGCATTTCCGATAGACAACAGCAGTGTTGTACTACGTTAAAAACAGTAAATTATTTGATTGAGTGCATGAACATTTTATAGGTTACCTGAAATCGATACGCAATTTCAGCATAGAGTTGATTGATCTAAGCGCAAGCCGGATGGTTAAAAATCGTCCGGACGGCAAAAATCTAAACGCAATATTTGGTCATAAATGGGAATTTCGTCACTGGGCACAAACCGCATTTATACCCGAATGATAGTATAATAGTGCGCTGAGCAGTCGTTTTTGGTCAAGCCGACTCGTCGTTTTCGTGGCGGTGGTGGTGCGGTTTAATTACGGTCGGACGCGTGCCAATGGAGAGTAGGACGAGTGGTCGCACGTAGTACACACTGCCGCATCAAAGGGACAAAGGCCGACGGCGACCGAATACCCTGCGCGCTTTGACCGACCGACTGCATCGATGATTAAAGTCGAAAGTCTCGACAATGCTCGTCAGTCAGCGACGTCCGATTAGAAATATTTTACACTCCGTGTACACTGGTACGAGTTGTGTATTATAATATATGTATTGTGTGTAAACGATAAAGCGTCCGGTCGGTCATCACGTGCTTGTGCGTGTACGTGGAGCGATCCAATTAAAATGCGTGTCCCTTTCGTATGTCCGTCACCAGCGGACCACCCGTCGGTGGCCAAATTTATTATAATGAAGTTGTAAGGCAAAAACCAAATATCAGCTATTCCGGATGTCTTGCAGCGCCAACCCATCGAAATCTCGTAATTTTTTTTCTCAAATATTAATAACCGATTTGTAATCATTTGTAACCAACCACCAATTTGAAATTTATATATTAAAATATAATCCTTTAAACAATTTTTAAAGGCACATTGTCAAGTTTTAGTATTAAATCCCGAAATCCTAGTTGAAAATTATATCAAAACGTTTAGGACGAAATTTAGATTTCAGAGCGCTGGATTGACAAAACTTTCAGAGATCTTCATATAATCTTCTAAATAAAATAAACAAAATATACGTTTCTACTAATAGAGCCCATCCCCGTCCCCTCGAATGTTTGTAGATCAGGCACCTCAAATAAAATCATAGATTTTTGGCGTTCATGATCGGCTTGAAAAGACAATAATTTTAATAATAATTATAATAATTATTATTACAAAAACGCGTGTTTCGGAAATTTCGACCGAGTGCTAACGAAAATTATCGAATTAACGTCGTACTCGGATAATACTTATTTATAGAATTCCGTGATCGCCGTAGCGTATTCAGTATAAAAAACAGTTGCATGTAGCCACCAAAACATGTGGGTCGAGCCGGTAGAAATCTCACGGTTTTCCGTTCGCATTTAACGCTTGGAAAATGAAAACATCCTAACCCACCGCAAAAAATTATCACGACGGTTCCAACGTTTTCGTCCAAATGCGTGTTTTTACGTGATATACACCATTACGGAACAAGTCACCTGAGTCATATTTATTTATGAGTGGGATAGAGTGTTTCTTATAAGGTAACAGTTTTAACGATTTATAGAAGCCTCTTTATACGTACGGACATTTTTGACGTTTGTTAGTAGAGAAATGTCTTTTTACAAAAATATGCCATACAGAGCATTTATAGATTTTTTCGGCAACACGACGCGATAAAAGTGGTTTTTGATTAGTAAAAAATACTTATACACTTAAAAACGTCGGTAGATATAAGATACTGTATTTTTCTTAAACGTGACAATAACTCGATATATTACTACAGAATATGCGCTTATACTGACCGAGTGCAGGGTTTTGTTCACGTGAAACGAGTTTACGGTCGAATTACAGTGTCGTGTAACGCGTGTGTTTCTCGTAAAATAGAGTACGTATTCCGTTGCTCCCTCCTATAGTTTTGAATTTTGATTGTTTACGGTATTTTACAGCTTAATAAAAAATGTTTTTTTTTTCATTTGCATGGATCTAGTGAATCTGCTGAACACCAATTACAGAAGTAATGGGTTCAATATATTATACAGATCGAATGTCACAGAATTCAAAAAATAAACAATATTATTTTCAATTATATTATCATGATGTACGTGATACATGATTTTATAAGTATATAATTATAATTGTCGTGTAAAAATTAATAGCGATAATAGACATGTTTGAAATAAAATAAAATTTAAAACTATTAATCGGTGTGCGATGATTAATTAGTATAATGTGAACATAATTATTTTGAAAGTGACAAATTTGACAAATGTATAATACCAACTGCTAAAGCGATCGTGTAAGCATTAATGACATTTTCAATTGTATTTCTCGAACTGTAAATGAATGAAACGTTTTGAACTTGCAATTGACTATATTTCTAAATTTCAATGGATATCGATTTGGGCATTTGTATATATTATATAATATTATATATAATACATTCCTTATATTTTGTAAATAGTTTGTAGTCGAATTCATCTCGTCCGAGTATTTATATACTTGTGTATAATGTGTGTGTGCATGTACGTATTATAATGCGCTCAGAGAAATACAGAGAAATATACAATAAATCCCTTTTTTTCTTCTCGTATATAGGGGACGCAAGCGCAATAAAGGCTATTAATTTCAAACCCCCTTATTTTTGATACCGGAATCGCCGTCGGTTTTTTCCTTCTAAAGAGTTTTTATTTTTTACGGATAAAATATCAATGTTCGACGAACCGTTAAAACCGATCGGTTTCAGAAGCTGCAATGTACAACGGCGATCGATCGGTAAAATATGAACCGGCACACGGCGTGGTTACTATAGTATATTGTACAAGTTTGACCATCGTGGAATTCTGGTGCAAACAGAAGTGTCTATTCGTTTATCCACTAAACGTCACAGTAATAATTTTCATTGAGCGTAATAAAAACAAGGTTTCAAAACAATCAATAATATTCTACTGTCGAAAACATGTTTTTATCGAGTTTAATGCAAGCAAAGTTTATTTTCTACGTCCGCGTAGAGGCACCACTAATGACCACTAATGTAAACAATAAAATGGCATGTCTTTACACTCTAAAATCAATCATAAACAATTAATAATAAATAATGAAATAATAAAAAAATTTAATTTAATTAAAAATTAATAATACTATCGACGGTCGTGTTTAAATCGAGAACCGGTCGAAAAAGAAGAACGGGCGCACAGATGATAACTGGTTTTTTTCTTACAGTTTAGACACAAATCTAACGTGAAGCAACGTGTGTTCCCGGGACATCAGTGTGACACATTCGTCATTCAGTATGATAGAACCCCAACTGTATTTGTGTATAATAATATGCAACAGTGCTGCCGAAGAAATGATCGAATTAATTCACGTTTTATAATCGCGTTATCGTTAAGTAGATTTCGTCGTATTGTGTGCGCTATCGACCGGGTCCGACCAGATATCCTTCGCTTTAAATTTCAAAGTTTCCTGTTACGTACATGCGCTCCTGTTGCTCCCCCACCGTCCGACCGTCCGTATGCCGTACGGTAAAGCATTATAACGTGCGAGCCTATAATATACGACTAAAAAGATTTTCGATTTTTCGTCCCGTAAAGTCGTTGGATTTCATCGGAACTCTAGGTAGGCTGCTG